ATATGAGACCAAGTATCCTATTAAGCTTGGAGGGTGCGATCGTAGTTGGAAGGTGAGGGACGAAGAAACACAACACTGGGCCAGTGAGGTCAATTCCTCGCCGTGTCAACAAATGTATCCAGTCACTCATTTTCATGGTTCTTCGGACCCCAACCAGGAAGCATAGCCGCTGCAACCGAGGCCAACTTCGAACTAAGGGCCTTCATTCCTCATGACCAAGTCATCGTTTGGCCACCCCTCCTCTTCTTCATCCACACCCCGCCGTGTAAATTAAGCGCGTCGCGGGAATGTGTGTGCCGTCACGCGCAACACGTGGCCCAGTCATCGGAGCCTGACGCGTGGTATAACAGTGCTGAGCGGTTCACCCGCTCTTATTGCATTAAATACATGTTACCAAACAGCCATTGCTTACGCGGTGTACCCATCAGACATTAGGTAAACCACGAAGGCACCAGTGGTCAAACACAACAAGCCTGTCGACTTGATGGGCAAGGTTTCGCAACCGTACAGGTGGGTTGAATGAACAGCTGAACTGCGAACTGATTTTCAGGACGAGAGTGATGTCACACAGGCATCACAACTGGCGGAGATGGGCAAAAGTACCTCGAGCTTTTATTATACGGTTCGTGATCACATCTTCTATTTCACTGGCAGTAATGCAGCAGGTTAAATACTTGAATCTCTGAACAACTTACTGATCTCCACCAAGGGTCAGCGCAGGAGTGGGTTCTTGCCAATCATGAAGAAGGACTTTGGATTTCGTGGGTATGAAGTTTATCCCGAACCGATGGACAGCCAGTGCTAACCTGTCCAGTGCTACCCAACATGTTTGGGAGTTATCAGAGACGACGTCAATATCCTCGGCGTACTCCAAGTGAAGATGTTGATCACCTAGTATCCGCTCCACACCTTGTAGATACACTAATATACGATCATCGCTTAGCCGTCCGTAGCGTCCGCTGAAAACCGAGTAACTGCAGATCGCTGGAAAGAGAAATTGTACAGGTTCTTGATATTCTATGATGCCCTACGTTTTGGTGTCTAGTACCTCTCGGTCATGCCTCAACAGGGGTTACCAAGCTTGGATAGCGTATTTCACGTAAGGGCGTACATTAGTTGCGCGCCGTTTGGAAGATGTATGGGTCAAGTCTCCAGAATGCCGTTCGCAGAAGGCCGACGTGCTGATTGCCTCTTTTCGTAGCTGCATCCGACTTTTTGAACTGGTGAGTTCACTGCACAAGCACGCCAAGATTACTTTCCTGGGGACTGATCTGCAATCGGCGTACCCCAAGACGATACGTATAGTCACGCTTATGGTGCAGTTGGACAAACGACATATTTCTACATTGAATGGTAGGACACTCTGAACTGGCTAGCTCGAAGTCGCGTTAAAATCGCGCTGGACCCTTTCTTGTTAGTCCGGTCATCTGGTCGCTCGCTATATCTTAATGTCATCAACGGAATATAGGAAATTGGAAACGATAGATCTCGCTAGTGTGTTTATGATAATCAAGAATGGGCCAGGTCATAGCCCCGAGTCTTGGTGTGCACCTCACTCCATCGCAGTTAAATCGGACATTAATTCTCGGACTCACATCTCCAACCGAAGATCATGTAAAAAATTGCTCATCCAACATAGAATTGGTTTATTTATGTCATAGTTCCGAAATTGGTGAAGGAGAATATGATGGTCTAAGCGCTCAAACACTTTTGAGAAGTTAAAGTAGATGACATCGACTCCTGTTCTTTCCTTAGCTGCTTCATTTTAGCTTTTGTGTTCAGTTGACGGGTTACTAGTACGTGAGCGATTTTGGCTGAAGCCATGTTGCTTCGGCCATATTAAGCTTTGGTTCTCTAGATACTGCATCAGCGCACGCATTAATTAAATGCATAACTTTGGAAAGCATAGGAGTTAGCGTTATCAGACGGTAATCGGTAAGGTCAGTACGGCTACCTCCCTTATAAATGAGAGGCATGATTCCTCGCTTCCATATTGTCAAAATTTTGTCCTCCTCTAGATAGTGCTAACAAAAGTGGTCAGCGGTTCTGATATATCAGTGGCGGTTGCCTGCCTGCTGATTTGAGACTAGTGGGCGCCATGTCAACCTTCTACGGACGTTTTGTCGGAAGTTAGTGCTCGCGAGAAACAGACATGCACTTTCACACAGACGGACTGTACCTTAACATGATGCAAGCGTTTGCGTGCTTTATCAATCTATTGAGCTATGTTGTACAGTGCCTTTTAACCTTCGAAGCCACTCATACCAGATTGGTCAATGGTTAGAGGCCAGACAAACTCAGTTTCCTGACCATCCAAGTATTGCCCAAAGGATGTATTTGCAGAACTCACGAAATGCCTGCCAGCTTCCGCAGGACGGGCAGTAACACACAATCAAACAAATGGGTTCAGTGATCACGAAACGTATTAAATGCTACGTGTGGGCGCAAAGTGCGGGAATACAGTCTTCTAGGGTGACTATGGTGGGGCATAGCCATCTTCATGGCCAGCTATCAAGCGTACGAGTTTATAACGGACCGGAAATTCTGTTAGATACGAACAATGTTCGCTGACGGCCATTACTCCTCTGACTATAGTTTGTCAATCCTGTCGGGGTCACTGAGCGTGCGCTACCAGCTAGTCCAAAACGACGAAACCGCTAACACATTTTACGAGGCGTGTGACAATGTGACTGGAAGCTGCCCAAGAAAGATAATCTGTAGATTAATCCTATCATTCTAACATTTACATTCAAATATTTCGACACATTGCCGATTGTACTAGTTTGGGTTTTATAGTTAGCTGCGTCTGATTCCGGGTTTAACTGTCACTGCGGCCTCCATAGGACAGTCCCAGGACACCTTCACCTACAGCGGAATCATGAGTGGCTTGCGTTGCACCTCGCACAGTACCACAGTCGACTTGCTGGCCGACGAAACTATTTTTCCCTTCGGGTACCCAGAACCTGGAATGCTGTTCCTTCTCATGCTTTGTTCGCCCCTACATCAACGCTTTTAACTAACGACTGGACTACAAGCTATCCAAGTTACATTACGTGACAGTCCTTTTTCGTTGGAAGTCGAATGATCCCAAACTGATTGTGCTCATCACCCAACTCAGCTACGTAGCATTGAGCAGGAAGGCATATGTATTCATGCGAATAGCTCGGGTTAACTTAAACCGAGAATTTTCTTTTTTCCTGTCATTTTCAACCATTGTTTCTGATCCCTATTCCGGTCATCCTATGGGACTTGTTGAGTAACCGATTTTTGCCCGTTATAACTCGGTGTTCGTCCATACACCCCATATCCAGTGTAAACACGAAGAAATAAGGCCAGAAGGCATGTGGATGGAAGCCAGGTTTCATCAACGAGGTCGGTCCACTCTTTCAATGTGCAAATATTTACTTATTTACACGATCAATGTCTCACTAGAGAAGCAAGTTTCCTGGATGGTGCTACTCGTTAACGACTGTGTGTGTAAAGTGAAAGAAGCTGTGTAATTTAGTGTTTATGTTTTAAATGGCCAGTCGCATGATCGTCGAGGAACGGATCTAAACTGTAAGCTAAAAATCAATCCACCACCACCCACCATCATAAGTATGTCCTTACGTGTGAACGCCGTGCACCATAGGCTAGTCAGCAAAGTCTCCGTTAGAGGACAATTTCGGTTCGGAACCTTCTCTGACTTGAAAACAGCCAGTGATGATGCTGAATCTGCTGCTGAACTCTGGTGGGCTGCCACTTCCACTAATATTAAGTCCACACTATCGGTCTACTAATCTTTTCTCTGCTATCATTCTCTCGGCATAATGTGCGATTCTGTTATATCGACTCTGCGAGCTAGACGCTGGCGTAAACAATGATAAGGAAAGGTTCTAATACTTGCTGTTTGCTAACACAACGTACTTCCCCTTGTTGCATCTGATGCTCTCTCGTTCTGGATGCATCTCGCTCAAGACAGCAAGTAACTAACGGATTACCATTGTTTAACTGCGGTCACCCTCTTTGATCGTAATGTCGCTGGAGATAGGAAACACTGCGAGTGTTTTGTTCTTCGAGCTGGACATTCCAGTTGCAGATGCTTCGTTACCAAGGCAAGCAACAAAACCAGCGCGGCTTTCAGGGTCTGATTCGCAGAGCCACGTGAGCCGCAGTCATATCCGCGTGATTATTGATTTGTCTCTGTTTTGGACCTTAGTCTCCGATGAACTCAAGTGGGTTGACCAAGTATTTGGTGCGTATTTGGTGCAAGAAGAGCGAGTGGGGCGCTCAGCACCATTATATAACGCACCAAGCTCCGATGGCTGGGCCACGTGTTGCGCCTGCCGGCACACCGATGTCCGTGACGTGCATTGTTTGCGCGCCGGGAGTACGGTTGGAAGAGAAGGAGGGGAAGCCAAGCGATGACTTGGTCGAGAAGCACGAAAACCCTCACTTGGAAACTGGCGTCGGTTGGTGCATCCCGACTGCCTGGATGCGGTCCTCTGGACACACTTGCTGATATGGCGAAGAGCTGGCCCCAATAGCGTTTGTTGTGAGTTGCTTTGTCCATCCCCTTTCTTTTAGGTTTCCTCTTCAACCCCGATCTCATGCAAACCGCATAATAGAATATCTAACATCATATTTTTGGTAGTGTACTTTTTAGTCTCATCATTTTGTATTGCGGCACATAAATTGAGGTGTGTTTCTCACCCCCAGCTAACGTGTACTGATGATGATGATGACCAAGTAATCATCTTCTTAGCGCTGTTGATTTGAGACCTTTTAATGACTAAATCTGTAAACCTTCTTACATACACTCCATCTCCCAACCACACTCGAGATACAGATGTTCTTAATAATTTCCATGAGAAACTCTGGACCCTGGTGTCACCAGTAGATGAAATGCAACGGCTTCGACCAGGTAGCTATACGCCGTAGCAATTCATTATCCATTCCTATAATACCTACACTTGTGAAGCCAGAAATCTGAAAGTAAGCTGAGGCTTGGTAGGCTCTAGCGACAGGTTACGAACTGGAACATTGTTAAGGGAAAGCTGTAACGCAGACTGTATGTATCAAGCAGTGTGGATAAATAATTCCAAATAAGAATAATGCAGTTGAGATAAACTCGGGAAATAAAGCAACAACTTCACGCGTAATGCAACTTAAAGTTGAAACCCGAATGAAACTAACATATGGTGAGACAGTAGTTCAAATGCTCAGGCAGCAGAAGTTTATAACTGGGGAGACTATCGTTTCGTTTTGCTTCTTTTGGGCACACACTGACAGGTAGGGAGACAATGTGCCCTCATTGCGTAAGCAGATTCATCCTCCTCCTCTTTACCCTCAACCTCTGTCATTGTGGCTATCTCGCTGTACGCTTTGACTGGAATCGTTGGGTTGTTCTGCTGACAGAGTTGCGATTGATACTCGAAATCACGAAGTTTCTGTTGCAAATAACTCTCGATAATCTGATACAATTCATTTGGATGGGAGAACCCTAGTCCGTTGACTGAGTCACTTGCATCCACCTGTCCAGATTGCTCTCGCCAACGTGCTGCTGTCTCCAGACTGTCTTCAAGCTCTTCTAACAAATCGTCATACACCGTCCAACTATTGACGGAGTCACGGAGTTTACTGTCCGGTGACAATGGCTGACTGTTTTGTAGTCTCCATTCTAATCGCTTACGACGATGATATTGCACACGGGCTTTCACTGGCTCATGTAGTCTCTCACCATCATCCGTGAGCAACGAAGCCGAAGAAGTAAGCAATATGGTATCATCTTCTTTCAGATTGGTAGATGAACGCTGTGATTTCGGGATTATCTGACTTCCGTCATGCATACCCTTCAACCTCCACCGGTTGGTACGGCAACCGTTGATCGGAACCATGACGGAGTCTTCTGACAGATGTGGGCTCATTTCTATCAAATTATTTTCAATGGTGTCACCATAAATAAGGGAAGAGGCAAGTGACTCGGGGTACGGCACTTCCCAACGATCGTTGTCCTCTGACACATATGGCCCGACTAAACCTTTTGAGCTTATTCGCATTGGATTGCTTTCGCGATCTTCCGGTGCCTCCTCGCGGCGAGTTTCCCCACATGGACTGTCACAATATGATAGCGGCTTTCGTAGCAAATGCGGGTCTTCTGGACCTTCCGAGGGATATTCCTGCGCACCAGCCTCCACGGTAAACCCTATTTTGGGGATTTCCATTATTTATCGCAGTCAATCACCCGAAGAATTTTCAGTGAATATGATTGAAAATGTGGGCAGTTCCTTATTCATGATATTACGGGGTCGTTAAATGTTCCCAGTTTACAGGAGTGCATGCCTCGCGTAAAAACTCTTGGTGGGTATCTCAGCTGACCCAGCTCGCGTGAAACGAATGCCGAGTTGTTCGACAAATATCGACGCGTCGTATTTAAATGTCAAGGTCACGCACTCCTTCATTGCGCTGTTAAGCTGATGATCGTCTGCGAACGCTTGACTTTGTTTATAGTTTGCATAAAGGCGATAACAAAGCCCGAGAAGTGGCCAGATCGGAAATGCGATGGAATGAGGTCGAGCTTTGCGGTGTGATTCCGATCACTGTCACGAATAACACTGGTTGTTCTCCATGGACGTTTCTCAAAGGTGCTCTTCTCCTTTGGGAGCCCTATAATCTGTCAGTTATATTTTCAGTACAGTGAGCCGCGACCAGTTGCTGAGACTCACGTCCTCGGGAACAAAAACAAAGATTGATGAAAATGTTCAAATGTAGCAACAACAGGAATCCATTGGTCTACCGCACTGTGAAAACACCATAGCTGCACTAGCCTAAAGAACTAAGGATCGGATAGTGAGAACAAATGCAACAATACAACAACGCCCTACCCTACTCTTAAGTGAGAAGAGCTGCTGATTAAAGTAGCAATTTATTGTGACCAATTTCCGGAGGGACGAAGCGCAACATTTATTTGCAAAAGTCTGGTAACAGACATAATGCCATCAGAAACCATGGGATTCAAACGAAGGTACAGAAACAGTAAAATAAAACACAACACAACAATGTCCATGGTTTTCTCAGAAGGCGAGATACTACCCGGTTGCCCAAGCCGAAGTAGACGAAACACAACCGCCGACATCTCACCTCGATCAGCGTCTTTACCGTTCTTATGCCTTTTCGCCTAGTAATGTGGGGAATATTCGCGCACGTAATTGACGCAAAGCGCATTTTTACTAGTCTACATGTGTTGTTTACTACATGATCCCGAAGTCACTCGCTTCAATTTCCATTCGATGACTGAAGCATCAAGCAGTTTGTATGTTTCGACGTATCCGGTTCCGGATTCACCAGCCTATTTAACTGTGAAGAGCCACAAGACGCCTGCGCCTACAGACGGAGCATGGGTTACTGATGCAACACCACCATATCTGCATCAAAACGCCTAATATCTAATGTAAACCCGAAGGAATAAAACCGTCAATCATGTGGATGCGAACCACATTCCATCAACGCAGCCACCCCACACCCCTTCATCATGCACGTCTTTAATTTGGACAAGGAGAAACAGCGCATACTAGACGTACCCAGGGTGGTGTCAGGGCCATAGTCTGTACCATCCTGGATAAAAAACACAGTTTAAGTATATCGCCGTCACGAAGACTATACACTATGTTGCGCTCAGCGACAAGCAACAATCTTCTGGATGCAATATCATCGAACTGGCGGTTTTCGACTGGTAGGTACATTGCAAACTTCCGAGTCAAACTCAGCCGCACCTGTGATACGAAGCATAAAGCATCCTGAAACGTAAGAATCTCAACACAGGAACACGTACAGGCCAACTGCTACGATACTGTAGCACACAAACCTCATCAATCGCACTATTAGCCTGGGTTAGTAAATGAAATCAGAAGCAGCGTACTTACCAAGCGCTTCGCTGATGACAATTATTTATGCAGCTTACTCGTAGCTCCTTCGATAGTGGCAAATCGTGGCGACGCTGGTGTCTTGCCAGACCGGCTTGGCTGAGGTGCACACGACCACATGTGCTACATGGTTGGCGGCATCCGGTTTCGGATTTGCCTGTCACTGTGGCCAGCCACAGGACGCCTGCGCCTACAGAGGGACCATGTGTGGCTTGCGCTGCACCACCCACAGCTCCAACCACACACACACACACACACACACCATATCCAGTGTAAACCCGAAGGAATAAGACCGGGATGCATGCGGATGGGAACCACATTTCATCAACGGAGCCGGCCCACACTCCTTCACAGGCAAACACAAGCACGCTGTATTTGGGGAATCAAGCGCACACAAGGCGGTGGCTGGTCCGTAGTCCGGTCCACACTGACTGCATGGAACCACTCTTTGATCCTAACACGGCCACAAGGATCGTGCACCCCGTCCCACTCCAGCAATGCCCAACTGTCTCCTGAAGCCAATATGGACGAGATAGTGGGTAATAGACAGGGAGGCACCTTGTCAATATGCACGTCAGGCGCAGCCACACTTTGGATGTCAAACAACAGCCAATCATTCGAAATGCCGATATCGAATAAAGTAAACGCATATGACTACATGAATACTCGCTAAATGAGCATATAGAAGAAACTGATTATAAGTGAATCCTTGATAAGTACAAAATGTCCGAGTTATTAAAAAAAAATACGACGCGATATAATTACGCAAGGTTGCCACAATTTGCATAAATGACGTGTGCTAGTTGGGAGAAGATTATCAAATGCGCAGAACAATCCAAATAAAATGTAATGAATTTTATCCACATTAAAAAGAACTAGTTAAAGTGTAAGTTGGTCTATTCTAACTGCTACAGCACCGTCATCATAAATGCACGGTAGCTGAGAGTGAGAAACAAGCCATTTGGCACCAATAAACTCCGCTACTCTTCTGCCATCCAGGCCTCGGTAGCACAAGCAACGCAGGATTCTGTTTGCTGGAATGCGCAACAGACGACCCAGCCATCGGAGCCTGGTACATGATACAGGGGTCCTAAGCAGCTCGATTCCTCTTTATGGGCCATAAACAAAACACCAGACACGATTGTCGCGCAAGAGATGTTCCAATCAGGGATGAGACAAGCTGTGCAGACGGCGACGGTCGAATACAAAAAGCTTGTTTACGTCTGTCGACCTGATGGGCCAGGTTTCATAACCATGTATAGGGTAGAATAGGTAACAGTATTATAGACCCTAACCTTCATGGCAAACACAGTGTCGCGTCGATACCACAAGTAGCCAAGGTTGGCGAAAATACTTCGAGGTTTTACTATACGGTTCGTGATCTCATCTTCGATCCTACAGCCGTTGAAATGGCCATGGAAGTTGCTGAATTTCTGAATGGGTTCTAGCTGATCGTCACTAAAGATCAGCTCAGAGATGGTTCCTGCCTATCCTGGAGCAAAATTTTACATAGTCTGATGGCACAGCACAACCCGAAATGGGTAACAGCAATGAGGCTGGACCTTACCGTGGTACTACGGTTTGTGTACTTCAGGGATCCATTGAGCTATATTGGGTAGTGCTTTTCTGCAGCTTCAGAGCCACTCCTACCAGATTGGTCAATGGTTAGAGAGCAGACAAACCCAGCGTCCTGGTTCTCTAGGTTGGGGTTATATATTTTTGCAACAGTCTATGAATAGACATTGCACCATCGGAAACCATGGAACTCAAAACAAGGTACAGAAATAGTAAAAGAAAACACAACACAACACAACAATATCCACGGTTTCGTCAGAGGGCGAAATACTACCCGATTGCCCAAGCCGAAGTAGGGTGTTGACTTAGGGGACACCACTCCGAGCCTTTGGCTGAATAGCCTGCCCGCAAGGCAGCGGAGCGAATTCAGGGAATCGCGCCCATTGGGAGCCGGTGACTGATTGATCAGTTCATACGCCTTTCGTTTGTTCCTTTGCCAAACAGGAGCCCAACACTCCCCGAAATTACAGCATCAACTTGCTGGAATACAATGCTTCGCCAGGATGAAGCAAGGGGCAGTGACTTTATTTAGTGGCGAGTCCCGTCCGCCACGTCACAGTGTTGTTAAACGGACATATGTGGCTTTTTATAGGGAGAACGCTTGCCAGGCGAAAACCCACCACGTCCTGGAACACTGCCGCCGAACCATTTGCTGGAACGGGAAAATCCCGAACCACCCAGCTGGCACCACGAGGAGGTTGTTCGGCAAGCCAGCCCCAGGTTGGGGTTAGAATAAAGATAACTCACTTCCCTTAAAACGGACTCCTTGTAGCCGAATGCCAAACTCGCTGCCTTGCGGTCAGGTTTTTGAACCAAAGGCATTGTTTGAGAACCCTAATCGTTCTCCTGTCTAGGCCTGGGCAAACTGATAGTATCCTGCCCACGCAATCCTATGAGTCTTTGCTCTGACAACCGCAGAGGATAATCAACGGTGCCCTATCTGCTGTATCGAGCAGGGTGGACAGGAGTTTGGATTCTACTGCTCAAGCCTTTCCACCTGCTTACGCTTTCTCTATCTTACCGTCCCGTCCCAACTTCACCTTTAGCCCCCCGGTTTTAAACCCTTCGATTCTTGGCACTCTCTCAACATGCTTTGCTAGGCATTTATCTTTTAATTTCAACTCACATGCTAACTCGGAGCGTCAGTCCTCTCCTGTCGACAAACCCATGTCCAACCAAGCGATCCATTCCAGTTCATTGACTTATATTTGGAGCCCTCGATTCTCATTCAGGAAGGCATGCCTCAATATACGCACACTGCTACAGATCGGTCAACGGGCAGCACTTGCCCGAATATTGGAGACTCTCTTGATCGATATCTGCTGCTTATCGGAGACCCGCCTTCAAGGCTCGGACTCTGTACTCACTCTGCAATCCCCTTCAGTTGACACTAGCAGCACTTTCTCATTGCGCCTATCCGGTGATGATGCAGCTTCCAGCACCGGCCAACCGGTGTTGGTATTGCCCTGAGTCCCCGGGCTGAAGCTGCTCTGGTTGCTTGGATCCCAATCAGTAGCCGGATGTGTGCGGTCCGATTGGCTGGCTCGTTCAAAGCTTCGAAGTCGCGTGGGACTAACAGGTGTATATTCGTTATCGCTGCCTATGCACCGACAAGCTCTAGCGATGACTCAGTAAAAGACGACTTCTATCGTCAACTGCACGTGCTCCATAACCACAGCAGAAGCTCGGACACTGCAGTGCTGGCTGGGGATCTGAACGCTCCAGTTGTGAAATTATCCACAGATGAGCTGCATCTGGACGGGCCAAGATGGTGTAGCCTCCCTTAATAATAACGGCGAGTGGTTACTGCATTTGTGTGATGATACCCGATTAGGGCTTGCGAGCACTAATTTCTGACACAGCACTCGCCGGAAGGGGACTTGGCGCCAACCAGCTTCAAACTAGCCATGGACGCTACTCGATCACA